AAACTACTGCACCTTACACACCTCAATCCAACGGAATTGCGGAAAGGAAAAATCGGACATTAAAGGAAATGATGAATTCTTTATTAATAAGTTTCAAATTACCGCAGAGTTTGTGGGGGGGAAGCTCTCCTTACAGCTAACCGAATACTCAACAGAGTGCCCCACAACAAAACTCAATCTATTCCATATGAAAAATGGAAAGGAAGAAAACCCAACTTGAAATATTTTAAAGTGTGGGGGTGTCTAGCAAAGGTACAAGTTCCTTTACCTAAAAGGGTTAAAATGGGACCAAAAATAGTAGATTGTGTTTTCATTGGATATGCTACAAACAGTAAAGCATGTCGGTTTTTGGTTCAAAATCTGATAATCCCGAGATTCATGTTAATACAGTAATGGAATCAGATAATGCTGAATTCTTTGAAAGCATCTATTTGTATAAAACTGAAAGCGAGTCGTTAAGTGAATGACCTAAATGACATCGGAAAGAACCAAAGAAAAATACTCCAAGTATAGAAGATCCAAGGCGTAGCAAACTTCAAAGAACATCTACTTCCTTTGGACCAGATTTTGTGACATTCTTGCTTGAAAATGAGCCTCAAACTTTTAAAGCATCTATGTCGTCTTCTGATTCAGCATTTTGGAAAGAGGTATTCAATAGTGATATTCAATCAATTTTGGATAACCATACATGGAAATTGATTGATCTTCCTCCAGAAAATAATCCTTTAAGTTTGAAATGGTTCTTTAAACGAAAAGTTAAAGCTGATGGCACTATTGACAAATATAAGACAAGACTTGTTGTCAAAGGTTATAGATAAAAGGAAGGCCTTGATTACTTTGACACTTACTCGCCATAACAAGGATAACATCTATTAGGGTGTTAGTGGCACTAGCGGTCGTGTATGGTCTTGAAATCCATCAAATGGATGTTAAAATAGCTTTCTTAAATGGAGAATTAGAGGAAGAAATTTACATGGAACAACCTGAGGGTTTTGTGGTTCCTGGTAAAGAAAAGAAAGTGTGCAAACTTGTTAAGTCGCTTTATGGACTTAAACAAGCACCCAAACAATGGCATGCAAAATTTGACCAAACAATGTTAGCAAATGGATTTAAAATCAACGAATGTGACAAATGTGTTTACATTAAAAATACTCCAGGTCGTAAAGTCATTGTTTGTTTATATGTTGATTACATGTTGATAATGAGCAAAAGTATGACAGATATCAATGCTACAAAACACATGTTGGCTAGCAAATTCGACATGAAAGACTTAGGAGTTGCTAATGTGATCTTAGGAATCAGATTCACAAGACTCCAAAAGGTCTAGCATTATCACAGTCTCACTACATTGAAAAGGTACTTGACAATTTTAAGTATTTGGATTTCAAAATTGCCAAGACTCCAATTGACGCGAGTTATGCACTTCAAAAGAATGAAGGTGAAAGTGACTCACAATTGGATTATGCAAGAGTATTGGGAAGTTTGATGTATGTCATGAATTGTACGTGACCACATATAGCATGTGTTATTAGCAAACCGAGTCGGTTTACAAGTAATCCCAATCAAATACATTGGATGGCAATGAAACGAGTTTTGGGATATCTAAAACATACCCAAAATTATGCTTTATATTATAACAAATATCCTTCTGTGATCGAGGGATATAGTGATGCAAATTGGATCACCGGATCATCTGAAGTTAAATCCACGAGTGGATATGTTTTCAAAATTGGGGGTGGAGCAGTGTCTTGAAAATCATCCAAATAAACGTGCATCGCCCGTTCTACAATGGAATCTGAATTCATAGCTTTAGATAAGGCCGGTAAAGAAGCTGAATGGCTCCGGAATTTCTTGGAAGATATTCCATTTTGGCCCAAACCTTTGGTACCTATTTGTATATATTGTGATAGTCAAGCGGCAATAGGTAGGTCAGGGAGTGCTATGTATAACGGAAAATCTCGTCATATTCGACGGAGACACAATACCATTAGACAACTACTCTCTATTGGTGTTATCACAATTGACTACGTAAAGTCAAGAGATAATGTGTCAGATCCACTTACAAAAGGCCTATCTAGAGAGGCAGTTGAAAGATCATCAAAGGGAATGGGATTAAAGGCGTAGGACAAGTCATCATGGCGGTAACTCTACCTAGCAGACTGGAGATCCCAAGATCTAGGTTCAAAGAGATCAAACAAAGTTATAAATGATGGTTCAACATTGTCAAATAACTCAACACATTCTCGTGATGAAGACAATGTTCAAAAAATGAGGTAAAACATTAAGGCTTTTTGATGAGTCGATAAAGCTTAAAGCTTTTTAATGATTTGCTAAGTCTGGCAAGATATGACTAGATAGTGTGTCTTTAGGATTACACGTTTAAGAATCACCTATGTGAATGTGAAGTGTAAGCTGCTCCAAGGAGAATGAAAGTAAAGGCCCATTCTCTAAGCACTCATGAAACCACGCGGTGTTTATGGCTGAAACGAACACAACCGTGAGAACCATAGATGGCTAAGGATTGATTGTGTGACTTATATTGTCTAGGTATACAACAAAGCTTGACGGTTCAAAGATATCAAATCTACCGATTGACCGAGTATATTCGATATAAGTTCACTACGGAAAGTTCAAAGGGAAACCTACTTATCCAGATGCAATTAATCTTTACATGTAAAACACACACAAGTCTGTGCATTCCTTTGAGTTTATAGTCATTCCCCATTCATGTGGAGGATTGTTGGGTTTTATTATTATTTATTAATAACAAAAGAGGTGTGAATGAAAAATGGTGGGAAAAGAAATGGAGGAAAGTGAAATTTTGAATGAGTTCATTTTACTAATGCACTTTGTCCCTCATTGGTAGAAGGAAAGAAAATCTTTGTGTATATATAAAGAAGCTTACCTTTTAGCTCTTAAAGAGTTAAGAAGAAGGCAAACCTCGCGTTGTCGTCGTAGTCGCTCGCTCAGCTCGGTTTCGGCTTCAGATTTGGTCAAAGATTGATTGATTAATCTTTTTGGACAAAATTCTTTTCAAATATTTAATTAATTAATTAAATTAATTAACGAAAATTCAATCCGGAATAACCCATAACACGCGACCCGGTCCGGTTCGGCCCGTTTTCTTTCCCAGATTATTTTAAATCCGTTTTTACATTTCTCGCAATATTTTCAACAGCTATGGCTGTTCTGAAACAGTGTCAAACCTGTTCCAATAGCTATGGTTGTTCTGAAAGGTTGAAAACTTTTTCAGAAACAGTACCAAATTGGCTATAAATATACCTTCAAATCTCAGAATATTTACTTACGAAATTTTCTGATAATCTTCTTCTTCTGCTGCACAAAAATTCTAGTGTGTTTTGCAGCCTTCGAGTGGTTCGTTGTTCATCGGTGTTTTTGGTACCAACACTCCGGTGAGTTAAATCGTTCTATCCTGGGAGGATATATTCCAAAACCTCGGGTACTTGAGGGGAATAATTTCTTTAAGGACATACTGTGTATTCAGTGGACTCGATTTGTTCCTATACCATTTTCAGAATTTATTTTGAAGAAGTTCAAATACTGTTTTCGGAATTTAATTTCTACTAACTTTCTGTTTCTGTTTTCAGAAAGATTATTATTTTATTTATTTACAACAATAACGTAAATAACCCATTTTAAAATTCTAGTCTCTCATTTTACTACAACAACGGAATTTGTAATAGCATTAGTTCTGTAGATATTCAACACAAGAAATATCTGAAATATAAATAAAGTAAGCGAAAAAATTGAACGAGAAAATCTCCAATCCTTTCTCATTAATAACACTTGAACATGGTCTTTTGAGAGTCACAATTTTTGTTTTATTATTATGAGGAATAAATGTACAAGAATTATAAATTTTAGATTATAAGTGAATTATCTGAAGTGCAAAGTACCATTGTTATCTTTACGGGCCATATGTTTTTCATTATTGGTAATCAATAATGTTCGTAATGGGGACTCCATGCACATGCATTGAAGCTCCAAGTTGGAGTCGTGATTAATTTCCTAATGAGCACCACTTGCAGTTTAGATATTTTGCGCAATTTGTTTAAACGACCAAAAAAAGGAAATGAAAAGCGACCTTTAGATATTTCTCCTCTCATTCAAAAACATATTTGTGTTGTAAAAGCAATAGGTACTTGTTCAGAACCCAGATCCTTCCCACCTGCAACAAAATATCTTTGCTAAAGTTTAAACCTCATTTATGACTATCAAATCCACTTAAGATACTCTATATTCAATTGGAATATAATTTCGCCATCCCACTCTTGAATCCTTCTTTTCTTTTCTTTTTTCTTTTAATTTTCTAAATGCATATTCAGTCGGCAAAGTTTATCCTATAACATGTATGCATTGGCCGCATATAAATTGTCTTTAGATGGCTCTACTTATTCAGTTGAACGTTTCTGACCAGGCCCTTCTATACAACATCATGCAAATTAAGGAGTGGACCTACGAGGAATTTGCTTTTTGCTTCATGGACCTACGAGGAAAGATCTTCAAAGCCTGCTACAGGGACATATGTACATGATCTTTTTTAAATATGTACATGACCTAATGTTTAAAGAAAGAAAAAAGTAGAGCAACAGCAATATTTAACGAAGTTAACAATAATAACCATAGCATGATTAAACATGTTATTTAGGAAAAGCTTAAAGATCGCTTGAACTAGTCTTAACATAATCATTAAAGAAAGATAAGTGGAGAATACAAGGCATGTTATATGCTACAACAGGTAAATGTCGGTGTATATTTATTGAACTTTTTTCCCAGTCTTCAAAAAGTGACTACATTCCGGTATTTACCTTGGGTAATGATTCTAATCTAATTTTAGCAAATGTAATCGGATTTAACCACTTTTAACTCTTCCTTAAAGAATGAAAATAGAGTAATTTACAATTGATTATCCTTTTCTAAATTAAATGTGCATATTTTTGTATGTGTCATCGACATTGCTTGACTGTGACAGATTTGTAATGCTCTCTCCCAAGTGTTCAAATTATCCTTCTCTATCTAAAGAAAAGTAGAACTTCTTGTTTTTCTGTACATTTAATTCGCACTGTAAACGCTCATCCCCACTAGGGAGTTTCTCCTATAAATTAAGAACCCCGCATTCCCCTTTTCATCATAACTCAACTAGCTTTAGTTATATAGAGACAGACAAATTAACAAAAAGCTTAGGAAAGAAAAATGGAAGGAACTTGTAACAACCGTAGCCATTTCCAAACTATTTTTCTTATTTTGGTTGCCTTCAGTTCTTCTTCATTCATGGAGTCAGCTTCAGCAGCAAGGCCAGCAGCCGGAGATACAAATACGGAGTTTATAAGAACATCATGCAAATCAACTACATATCCAAACCTCTGTTTCAGCTCATTATCCAGCCGTTCAACTGCTATTGGGGTTTCCCCTCAACTTCTAGCCCATGAATCCCTCACCGTCAGCCTCGAAACAGCGCAGTCTACATCCGCCACGATGCTGAAGTTGGCTCACGGCCAAGGCATGACGGCGAGAGAGGTTGGTGCCATGCATGACTGTGTGGAGGAACTAAGTGACGCAGTCGTTGAATTGAGAAAGTCTTTGGGGGAAATGAAGCAACTAAGGGGCAAAGATTTTGATCTTAAAATGAATGATATTCAAACTTGGGTAAGTGCTGCCTTGACTGACGAGGACACTTGCACCGAGGGGTTTGCCGGAAAAGTGATGAACGGGAAAGTTAAGACAGTAGTAAGGGGAAGGATTCTGGAAGTTGCACATATGACGAGCAATGCCTTGGCTTTGATCAACAGCCTTGCCGCTCTTCACGGCTAAATCAAAAAATCAATTACACACTCCTATATAGTGTTATTTCTCGTCTTTCTCAAAGTATACTTAGTTCTTCCTTTGTTGATCCCTGAAGTACCAGGGCCGTCAGCTTTAGGTGATTTTCTTATTTAAGTCTGTTCCATATGCATTTATAGAAAAGGTAATTTTGTGCATGATATACACGGTGCAACAAGAGTAGTATAATCTCAGATAGTAATTCCTCGATCAATCTTAGTTGCAATAGTGAGTGAGATCAAAAAATGATTTGAAGTTCAAATGTGGCAATAGAATGATTAGGACTGCGTGCAATCCGAAAAGCACCTCAAGAGCTATGAAAAAAGAAAAAAAAATCAACTAAAGCGAATATATAATGTTACTTTTTTTTTGNCAAGCTTAGGATTCGATGACTATTCTGCTTCAAATTTGGACGGGAAAGCCGTTTGCTTCAAAAACGGGAAATATTTTTTCGGGGTATTATTACTTTTAGCCCGCGCCAGAAACTAATTACATTTGGTAACCGAAGAAGGGTATAAAACTTGTTCTATGATTTTTGTATATAACATACAGAATGTATACATATACAAAAAATATACAAATTTTATACATTTTCGACTATTATTTTTATAGCGGCTATACAATGTCATTTTTCCTTTTTTTTCTATTTTTTGCTAAAGCTATTTCTCATCCAAACACCAATAAAGAAAAGTGTTTCAGTTTGTACAAAAAATAGAAAGCTACTGAACTTTCAGTATTTTGCAAAATCCGAAAAAACTTTTCCTCTTTTGGTGTTATCTGCCCCAAGGAATAGGCCATATCTTACGCATGAGCCAATCTCTAACTTGCCTTTAAGAAGTTAGGCACATGGACAGCCAAGTCTATCCAATAATTCTCCTCTTCGAGTAGCTTTCGAGAGCAGAGGGGCCCTCGAGACAAAGAGTGACATTAATAAGATTGGCTATCAGCTTTACAACAACAGACTTTATTAATGCTACGCGATATTTTGTTTGTCGAATAGCGTTTCTACACTATAATAGCAATATTCATTTTATGTTTGCACAAAAGCACTACCCAGCACTATTAATTGAAACCAAAAATGACTTCTGGCTGATGGGCATAAGCAAACCAAAGGAAAGGTTTAAATGCCTCTACTTCAAATCTATACAAGCAGGTAGAAATCGGTGATTACACTCATGCATTTACATGATCTCAACAAAGGTGAAAAAGGAAAAAATAAAACAGAATGTAAATTTGATTCATATTGAATTACTTGATGGCAGAACAAGGCATAAATTTACTGACTAGCAATCTTTTCAGAAAGTTTAACTGTATTATTTGTAAATAGCATTGTGAATTCCCGCAAAACAAGGTTAAGCTATTCTTGCATCATCATTCATGTCGTAATATCATTTTGCATATCCCCAGTTTCTGTGAATCTATTTCCTTTTTGGTCTGTTCCAAAAAGAATGAACCTTTTCTAAATTTGGTAACAATTTAGCTTTAACTTACAACTCTACCCTTAATGAGAAGTTTTTATAATCACACATACTCTGGGCCCCATTTGGACTTGTTTAGGACCACAAATTCCAAAAATCTTCATTTTTTCTTAAACTCCGTGCCCAGTCAAACAGGTTCACATAAATTGGAACGGAGGGAGTAACTAGTAACATGATTAACAAATGGTCAAAAAAGAAAGAAGGCCTAAGATTTACTGAGAAGGAAAATAAAAAAGACAAAGGCTAGGTACATCCGGACTGATACTCTAAAAAGCTATGGTTGAACATGTCAAAAGCTCAAAAGATAATGTTAATCCTAAAAGCTTGCAAAAATAGCATTGATAAAGGCAACTTACAGCAGCATCTCCGTCGAATCACAAATATATAAGAACCCTCTTTAATCAGTCAAAGAATAACACCAGAGTTACACTAACAATCAAGAAGCCCTCTTAGGAGGTGCCATATTTTTAATAAGAGAAATGGTTGTACCGATAGCCAAAAATTGTACCACAAATCCTGCAGAACAAGGACATGGTCAATACATCAATTGCATGCTCCTATGCGACATATGATGAGAACCAAATTTGCAATATGAAGCTTACCTAGTAGGACATCTGCAATCTTTAGAGTCTCCAAACTTTAATCATTTTGGCTTGATTAAAATGATAAATGGACCCGCTACGACCTTGCTGAAAGATCAATTCCCTGAACTGTTTGCAATTTCCCAATATAAGGAAGCTTCCTTGGCTTCTCCAAGAGAAACATAGATGGAGGATACGATTCATAAGGAATTTTAACGATTGGGCACTGGATAGGGAGACTGACGTTTTTTGCAACTTTAGTACCTTTCCAGCAGCTATTCAATAATGAAGAAAGAATTGCATTAATCCAGGAAAAAATGGAGTGTTCTCAGTCAAATCTTACTACAAGGTACTCTCTGGAAGCACATAACAGAACTCACCTTGGCCATGGAAAAGAATATGGAAGACAAAGTCCCCATATAAAAGTTGCTTGTTTCACATGGTTGGTAGCTAGAGGGGCATGTCTAAGTCAAGACAACCAACAGAGAAGGGGCACTAAACTTATGTAACAGGTGTTACCTTTGTGGTGAGCAATCAGAGAGTAAAAACCACCAGTTCTTACACTGCTCCCAAACCAGCCAATTTTGGAAACTATTTTTGAATATCGCGGGATTACATTGGGTCAAGCCTGGATCAATAGCAGAAGCCTTGAGGAGCTAGATTGGAAGGGGATAGGAATGGCAAGTGGGGCGGGGCGGGTTCTGCCTTAACNTTTTCTTCTTCAAATTGTCTTATTTTTTAGAAATTTTCAATACACTAGTTGGAGCATCTTCATATTGTCTCAAAGGCCCATTCTTGTGATATTTCCGATAATGCGATTAGAAAACTAGAAAAGTAAATTGTGATATTCACACGGATATGTTATATGAGTATATCTAAGATAAGAACCAATTCATGCTCAAATTGTTAAATCAAAATTTACTTTACAGATAATGAAAATAATTAGTTGTACCACAAGATCAATCTAGAACATTGATAAAGAAAAGAGTCAAATGAAACTCCCAAAAGAGTAAGAAAAAGGAATTCAGTGCCCATAACTAAAAAATAAAAAACAGATTAACATAACTGGGTTTTCAATAACAACAATCCTATATATGTAGACCTTCTCCATAACATGAAAAGCTTCAGAGATGCATTTTTATGGTTGACGAAGAGCACTCTCAAGTCTCACGGTATGGAGAATAGAGGAAAATATTATTTTTTTTAATTTTGAGAGGGTTAAATATTCTAAAAAAGTCAAAGTAGTTTATATATAGGAGTAGTGAAGTTCCTCTAATGTTTAATGTCATTTTCGAACATTTCGAGCTTTATACAATAATTAAAGGTATTTAGATTGAAGCATGAAAAAAATAAAAATATATGGAAATTAAAGACAACATATTATAATGATCCACGTGAATATTTTTAAAAAATGGTATAAGCAACAGATTGAAAAGCTTGAAGACGAGATTCATGCGAGTAACAAAATTTACAGTAGGAAAAAATTGACCTGCACCTGCCCCGCAACCCGCAAAAATTTCTTTGAAGAGAAATCAACCCGCCCCGCACCGCACTCGCACATGTCCAAACCCGCACCGCCCCACACCCGCACCGCCCCATTGCCATCCCTAGAAGGGGAATGACAAAATGTCAATCGAAATGGTGGAACACAACCCACCCACCCAGTAGCGAAATCAGGAAATTCAATAAGGGTGTTCAAAATTTGAACACCCTTTGTCAGTGGGCTATGCAAGAGTATTCAAAGTCTACTTTTTAATCAATAACAAGTAATATTTTACCTTACTCACCGTATCGGAGTAGGATGGACGAAGTGGAGGCTCGCTTCTGGTGTCTTGTGTGATAAGAATGTGCCGTTGAAACTTAAGGGTAAGTTCTACAAGGTAGTGATCAGACCGACTATGTTGTATGGGGCAGATTGTTGGCCAGTCCAAAAGTCACATGTCCAGCATATAAAAGTACCAGAAATGAGGATGTTGAGATGGATGTGTAGGCATACTAGATTGTATAGAATTAGGAATGAAGTTATTCGAGACAAGGTGGGAGTGGCCCCTGTAGAGGCAAAGATACGTGAGGCAAGGTTGAGATGGTTTGGGCATGTTAAGAGCAGAAACACAGATGCCCCAGTCAGGAGATGTGAGAGGTTGGCCTTGGGAGGTGAGAGGAGGGGTAGAAGTAGACCTAAAAAGTCTTGGGATGAAGTGATCAGGCAGGACATGGCGCAGCTTGAGCTGACCGAGGACATGACCCTAGATAGAAGGGGTGTGGAGGTGGAAGATTAGGGTGAAAGATTAGTAGGTAGTCGGGCGTTTCCCTTTGTCTTCCCTAGTTCGATAGTATTAGTGCTAGTATGGTACCCTTTTTTTCCTTAGTTTTATATAGCCGTGTGTCTTGTTCTGTTACTACTTACCTTTGGTAATTCCGTAGTTTGCTAGCAGAACTTCGTCATATTCTCGTGTGCTTCTTTGGACTTATCTGTCTAAATATACTATCTTGATATTACTTGTTATTGGTACTATCTCACTATTCTTTGTTGTTATATCCGATTTAGTTTTCTAACTATTTGTATTGCTATCAGGGCTTCTTTCACCTTCTTTAGCCGAGGGTCATTCGGAAACAATCTCTCTACCCTTCTAGGATAGGGGTAAGGTTGCGTACATCCTACCCTTCCCAGACCCCACTTGGTGGGATTATATTGGGTAGTTGTTGTTGTTGTATATATAGTATAATTTTTCGGCGAAGGGTGTTTAGTTGACCACCAGTCAGCCAACATAGCTTCGCCCCTGCACCTACCTACACACCCCCAAAAACCCAATGCATTTGGTGGACTATTTGGAGGAGAAGGAACTTAAGTTGCTTTGTAGACAAGCTCAACCCCATTTTCAAAAGATCAAGTCAAATTTACGACTGCAGGTAAATGAGTGTATGAAAATGATGCAGAATCCATCTAAGAAATCATCAATACCCTACAAGAATAGGCTAGATATCTTTCTTGGGGGGCTCTATCTATGCTTATGATATCTCTTTGATATATTTAACTGCACTTTTCATTGTTATGTAATTACTCCATCCGTTTCAATTTATGTGAACCTATTTCCTTTTAAGTCCGTGCCAAAAAGAATGACCCATTTCCCTATTTGGAAACAATTTACCTTTATGCAATGATTTATAGCCACACAAAATATATGTGCGTCATTTTACACCATAAGGATGGATAAGATGAAGGTAGCATAAATGAGGATGTTGAGGTAGATGTGCGGGCATACTAGGATGGATAAGATTAGGAATGATGATATTCGAGAGAAGGTTTATGTGGCTCCCATTGATGACAAGATGCGGGAAGTAAGGCTCAGATGGTTCGGGCATGTTCAGAGGAGAAGCCCAGAAGCTCCGGTAAGGAGGTGCGAACGGCTGGTTGTGGAGGGCACGAGAAGAGGTAGAGGGCGGCCTAAGAAGTATTGGGGGAAAGTGATTAGGCAGGATATGGCGAGGCTTCAGATTTCCGAGGACATGGCACTTGATAGGAACATGTAGAGGTCGAGTATTAGGGTTGTAGGTTAGGAGGTAGTTGAGTCTTGTCGTATGCGATAACTTTGTGAGACTAGTTTGGTAGGGATACTACTTCGCTTTTGCTTTGTATCCTTCTTCTTGAGTTTATGTTGTTCCTATTTTTCATATTATTTATGTGGTGTTACTGATATTTTCTTCTTTTGTCTTTTTGTCTTCTTGAGCCGAGGGTCTTTCGGAAACAGCTTCTCTACTCCTTCGGGGTAGGGGTAAGGTCTGCGTACACACTACCCTCCCCAGACCCCACTAATGGGATTTCACTGGGTCGTTGTTGTTGTTGTATGTTACACCACAAATTCAAAAGTCTTCTTTCTTTTCTTAAACTTCGTACCCAGTCAAATGGGTTCACATAAATTGAAACGGAGGGAGTATAAATATTGTCTATCCAAAAAAAAATATCCACATGGAGAAAAACATCTCTTAAACTTAAGAAATATAAGTATTGTTTCTTAAGATTTTAGGAGCCATTTGGGCAACATTTGAAGCTGAAGTTGGGAAAAAAACTTTTTGAAGTAGAAACTGGAAAAAAAAAGTTGGTGGAAGTTGAAATTCTGTTGAAAGCCGCAGTTTTTTATGGTAAAAGAGTTTGTGGAAGTTGAAAATTTGTGAGTGGAGGTTGAAAGATTTGAAAAACTTCACTTCAAATACACCTTGAAACCACAAGTAAATCTAGGTTCTCTAATTCTTCATTGGATGTTGATATTTATATAACTTTTCAGCCAAAATTGTGCATTCAACTCCCAAGAGAATGTTGCAACATTAGTGCCTGTAGTATCTCATTTTTTTGAATAAAAAGTGCTGGTAGTATCTCGTAAAGTCTGATGCAAGTACATTCTGCTACACGTGACAACTTACCATGCAGCAACAACTGCACCTCTTGAAACATAAAATAAAAGAGATAAAGTGAACCCAACCTAGTAAGTATGATTCTTTCTAAATCCAGCATAGTTGTGCCTACGCCAATTTATGAATAAAGTGTAGAAACACCGGTAGCAAGAAACATTGAGGGCACTTTTTTACTTAAGTATTTGTTCTCTTCACAACTCGTGTATTAAGTCTTCATACACCAATCTGGTGCTTAGCTTGCTAAATTTTCAGCAGTAAATAGACTTCCCAAAACATGCGTTCAACTGCCTATCCTGGATTTCAGAGGGACAATGGAGAAGAACACATCTTTACACTACAATTAGTCTTGCAAACCTCTTTATCAAAGTCACATACCCAGGCAATAGATGGGTTGACTGGGCAGTACTTAATTCAATCGGAAGAAGTGGTGGTATCATTGTTCTTTGGGACAAAAGAAAATGGCTCAACAGAGGAGTGCACCAAGGCCATTACACAATTTCATGCATGTTTGAAAGCGTAATAGAGAATTTCAGATGGTGCTTTACAGGAGTTTATAGGCCTTACAATAACTCAGAAAGAGAGATTTTTTGGCATGAACTTGCAGCCATCAGAGGAATATGGGAAGATCAATGGGTCATAGGTGGTGATTTCAATGTTTGTAGATACGAGAGTGAAAGATATAACTGCATAAGGAGATCCAGGGCCATGAAATCCTTCACTGAAATCATATAAGATCTAGGCATCATAGACTTGCCTCTCCAGGGGGCTCATTACACTTGGTTTAGGGGTGAAGACTCACTACAAGCATCCAGAATTGACAGATTCCTCATCTCCACAGAATGGAATGACAACTTCAAAGCAATCAAGAAAATAGCCATCCCTAGAGTTGTCTCTGACCACATACCCTTGCTACTACAATGTGGTGACTGGGCAGCCAACCCTTCATATTTCAAGTTTGAAAATATGTGGCTTCAGGCTGAAGGCTTCATGGACAAAGTTAAGGAATGGTGGCTCAGCTACACAATTGATGGCAGCCCTGACTTCATACTGCTGCACAAACTAAGGTGTCTGAAAAAAGATATCACCAGTTGGAACAAGGAATCTTTTGGCCAACTGGAAGCAAGGAAGACCAAACTTTTGGAAGATCTAGCTCTAATTGAAGTAGCAACCGAAAACAGACTAATGACACAAGCTAAAAAAAAGATTCAATGCACATTAAGCTGGAGCTGCAACAGTTGGCAAAGGCAGAAGAGGTCTCGTGGAGGCAAAAGTCCAGGTGTCTATGGCTCAAAGAAGGAGATAGAAACACCAAAATTTTTCCGAAAATGGCCAACTCCCACAGAAGGAATAATTGCATAGACAAACTGATGATTGGGGAGGAAATTAGTGAGGGCAGTGAGGAGATTAAGGCTGAAATCCTAACTTTCTATCAAGACTTGTACACTGAAAATGAACCTTGGAGGCCTAGTGCTAAGTTTGAAAATCTAGCTTCCCTAACAGCAGATGAGAAGATATGGCTAGAAAGAGCTTTTGAAGAAGAGGAAGTGAAGGCATCAATCAACTCTTGTGCTCCAGATAAAAGCCCAGGACCTGATGGATTTACAATGGCTTTCTATCAAAGAGCATGGGACATAATCAAAGCAGACATAATGGGTGCTATTAACCACTTCCATCAGCATTGCTACATGATCAGGTCATGCAATGCCTCTTTTATCACACTAATCCCCAAAAAGAAAGGTGCAATAGAGTTCAGAGACTTCAGGCCCATAAGTCTCATTGGAAGTGTATACAAAATCATAGCCAAACTCTTAGCAGAAATGTTGAAGACATTTATTTGGAAGTTGGTATCAGAAAAGCAAAATGCATTCCTGAAAAGCAGGCAGATCACAGATGCTTCTCTTGTAGCAAATGAGTTACTGGATGGGAGGTTAAAGAGTGGGGTCCCAGGCATTCTATGCAAGCTAGATGTAGAGAAAGCATTTGATAAAGTCAATTGGACATACTTTCTTTCCATGTGGAAAGATATGGGGTTTGGGGACAGATGGATCAAGTTTAGCCTGACCACTATTAAATATTCCATCCTAATCAACAGAACCCCAGGTTTCTTTTCCCCACAAAAAGGGATAAGGCAAGGAGACCCCCTGTCTCCCTTCTTATTCATCTTAGCCATTGAGGGTTTGAGCAAAATGCTTGACAAGGCAAAACAAATGCAGTTGTTAAAAGGGTTTAAGGTGGACAACAATACTGACATTCCAGTATCATTTTCTCATTTGCTATATGCAGATGACACCTTAATTTTTTGTGGGGCATAGAAGCTTCAAGTTCAATACCTAAACTTGACACTTCTCCTTTTTGAAGCCATCTCAGGCTACACATCAATATGGCAAAAAGTGTGATCTACTCTGTGAATGAGGTTCCTAATTTGGAGGAACTAGCTAGAATTATGGGTTGGTGGCATTGGCCATTTCCCTACAACATACCTAGGCCTTCCTTTAGGAGCAAAATACAAAGCAACTGAAGTCTGGAATAGAGTCATTGAAAAGGTAGAGAAAAGATTGGCCACTGTTAGAAAAAGCGGTCGCTTCCTCGCTTAAAGCGAGAAGCGAAGCGACCCATTCCTCGCTTCTGCCATGTGAAGCGACTCAAGTAGGAAAAAGCGACCGCTTCCCACTAAAAAGCGAGAAGCGACCAAGCGAAGCGAAGCGACCGAAGCGAGCGCTTCTTTGATTTAAACAGCTGCCAGCCTATTTAATTAAAAAAGAAAGGTTTTCAGTGTTCTTTTATTAAACACAACCAGCAAAGCATCTGAGAGTCTCTGCGACTAGGGTTCTTCAATAGAGATTCCAGCAACAGGTATGTGATGATTTTCTCTTCTTCTTCTTCCACTGTTTCAACGTCCAAATAGTAGTGAAATGCTGGCGAATTTTTTTTACCTTCGGTTCTTTCCCAGAATCCAGCAACAGAATTTTTTTTACCTTCAGTTCTTCTTTCACAGTTTCTTAGTTTTTATTGCCTTTTCTAATGTGTTATGTAGTTGTTCTTTTAATGGCACCAAAAGAAGATAGGAAAGACCCTGCTTGGGCTTACTCTACAAGAGTTAGCGAGACCAACAAGATGACAATTAGATGTCTTTTTTGTGACAAGATTTCAAATGGGGGAATCTATCGTCAAAAAGCGCATCTAATCGGTGGTGGTCCAAATGTCGCATCTCGCTTGATAATCTTGTAGAAGAATAGGATGCTCATTTTGTGCTTTAATTGATGCTACTCTTTAGTTTTTACATTGAAGTATTGAACATTTGCTTACAGTTTACTTGTGTTGTCTATGCAGTATTTATTTTAATATACTTTTTCTAAATTCCGCTTCACTTCAAAAAAGCGAGCACTTCGCTTCTCGCTTCTTGCTTTAAGCGAAATGGGGGTTGTCGCTTTTTCTCGCTTCACGCTCTTCACAACACTGAGATTGGCAACATGGAAAATGCAATATTTGTCGATGGGGGAGATTGACACTGTCAATAGTGTTTTGGATAGCATTCCTACTTACATCATGTCTCTTTTTCCTATGCCAAGTAAAGTCCAAAAGCAACTAGACAAAACCAGAAGAACTTTTCTATAGGAGGGCAACAGTGAAGGTCATAAATTCCACCTGGTTAAGTGGTCCAAAGTCATCATGCCAAAGAACCAAGGTCGTCTAGGTATCAGAGACCTGCAAAAGCACAACAAGAGCCTACTATTAAAATGGTGGTGGAGGTGGAGGTATGCACAAGAAAGCACCAGCATATGGGAAAAGGTGGTAACAGCAAAGTATGGGAAGCTAGACAATTGGAGCACAAAGAAAAGCAGAGCTCCATATGGAGTAGGGCCTTGGAAACATATCAACAATATGAAAGAAGAATTCTTTCAAGAGGTATCCTTCAAAGTAGGAAATGGTAATTCTGTCAAATTCTGGAAGGATAGGTGGCTTCAAAACCAACCTCTAAAAGATTCCCACCTTGGCATATATCAGATAGCTATTGATCCTGAATCAACAATAGCCCAGAACAGAGCAGGGAACATATGGGAACCTCTTTTCAGAAGGAACATGCAGGACTGGGAACTAGATCAACTCTTTGACCTCTACAGAATTATTGAAGGTTTCTCCATAGACCTCCAAACTCAAGACAGACTAAAGTGGGGCAATTCTAGCAAGGGTAATTATACAGTGAAGGCTGGGTACAACAAACTATGTGAATCCAATGGAATGATAGATAATTGGCCATCGAAGCATATATGGAGGTCAAAACTACCTACAAAAGTTATGTGCTTTTCTTGGATTGTTCTCAGAAATGCTGCCTCGACCCAGGACAACCTATGCAGAAGAAACTTCCAACTAGTCAACAGATGCTACATGTGCTACAACAATGCAGAATCAGTGAACCACCTCTTCTTGCATTGTCTAGTGGCAACAGATATATGGAATATGTTCTTAGTAGTTTTTTGCCTCAGTTGGGCCATTCCTCAGGATATCAAGGAAGCCATCGAAGGCTGGTGCTCCTGGAAAGCTGGTAAAACCATATAAAAAAAAATCTGGCAAATGATCCCAGCATGTATTTGTTGGTGTATATGGACAGAAAGGAACAACAAGTGTTTTGAAGGCATCTCAACTTCCACCAGCCTTCTGAAATCTAAGTGTCTAATGAACCTGTTTAGTTGGAGTAACCTTTTCCCTGTAAATGATGTTATTCCCCTCTTAGATTTTATTGGCTCTCTTAATATGGCTTAATAGTCATTCTTTTTGGTTTTTGGTCTTGGTTAACTCATAGCTATATAGGTTTTTTTGTCTTATAGAGTTAACCAAGGACTTACACATTGTAACTTTATAGCATCTTCTTGATGCCTTTAATGAAACACCTTCATCAAAAAAAAATAGCGCTGCAGTTTATGGGTGTGCGGGAGAAAAAGACACCACAGATGTTTGAGCACATAGAGATAGAGGAAGCATTTCATGTACTTATATATGTATCGACTAGCATTTTGGCAAAAACCTGAAGGATATATACAATGTAAACATGTTTTCTTGAGTTCTTGTCTTCTTTTCAGGATCTATAAGGGAATATGCAATCTCTTTTTGTAATTGCAACCCTTCCGATACATGTCAGCTCTCCCTTAATTCTATCTCTTATTCAATTAAATAATCCATTATCGAAAAGCAAAAAAAGAACAAAGCAAACACTTTCCTCCCCCCCCCCCCCCAATCTCTTGGGATGAGGTGGGGCTAACCAACAATTGTCAGCATGCAACGTCCAAATTGCAGTATAATGTTATGAGCCGTCAATGAAAAAAAGAGAGGCAATTTTGGAACTTAAAAGTGATCAAATTCTATCATCAGAAGGTATAAGTATTTTAGTTTGTAGGGCCTAAGATAATTCTGTAGTCAGATACAAAATCTCAGATTTGAAAAGATTGTGCATACTGCTGAATAAAATCACAGACAAACTTGTTATTTGTTGCTCATGTCCCAAAATTCTTGTGTTAGTATTTAGCAAGCTACGGTAAGGTTGAAATAAGTAAAACAACCATATTTGTTGCAGCAATTTTGATACTAACTCAATCATACCAAATAGTGGATGAGGTCCCTATTCAGCATAATTAAATATAAAGCAAAAACGTCATAGATAATTTTCAGTCAGTAATAACAGCTAGTAGCACCAATTTTCGTATCAGAATAAATTAACAAATAACCATACCTCCAATGAGAAATTGCTCATAGCAAGATAGGCCACTGACAGCAGGATCGCCATGGATGACCCAAAGACATAAAACTTCAAAAAGTTGGATCTGCTTCTCTTTCGACCTAAATATAACAAGAGAAAATGTCTCATTAAAAGGTGAAAATCAAAATAATTAGGTCAATGAGATCCAGTAGCAAACCTAGTTCCCCTGCCAGAACAGAGACCAAGGCAATTGCAAGGGAAGAAACAAAAACTCTATCAGGAGACTCCTTCTTTGCTAATGAAATAAACACATTAGCTTCTATCATCAATTGAGTGACTGCCTGCAGTACATGATACAAGTTTATAAACTACTACATAAAGATGCTACATTCACGTTGGCACAATTCAAGTCGAGATATTGCTGATGAATTAGAAATATGTGAATGAGCAACTAACTTATTGTCACACCTCCTTTTACCTTACACTCCCGTAAAGGGGTGTATAAGGGAGTTTTTTCCAATTTAAGTGACAATCGAAACGGAATTATTTTATTTGAAATTCAGAGTCGCCACTTGAGATAATTTATAGTGTCCCAAGTCACCGGTTTAAATCCCGAATCGAGGAAAAGATTGACTTTATTATCGGTCCGCGAACACAGAAATCCGGGTAAGGAATTCTGTTAACCCGGGAGAAAGTGTTAGGCATTCCCGAGTTCCGTGGTTCTAGCACGGTCGCTCAACTGTTATAATTGGCCTATTATCTGGTTTTAGTACATGTTTAGCCTATGATACAATTTTAAATAATTAACCGCTTTTAATCATTTTTAAGGAAGATTGCAACGTCATTTAAAATACGTCTTCAACCACGTCACATAAATGCACCCGCGGTCCCTGACACATTTTATCCAACGTTGTTGTGATTTGGATTTGGGTCACATAAATGCGCACCCGAGTTTAGGAAGGTAAATTATTAACTAGCACGCCTAAAGCAAGCTACGCATTTGAATTATTTTCCTAATCTTTGAGATTGTTATAAGGCCAAATTTATGAACAAGATATTATTGGGGCAAATAGGCTAGCCAACATGATCTATTAATTGGCCGGATTCCCTATGGTCCAAAATCAACCTAATGGCCAATGCTTATTCCTTGCCAAGAAAGAAACAACCCCGATTTTTCCATCTAACCGATTAAAAGCATTTATTCAAGATCCCAAGACTACATGCATCACAATCGAAATAAAAACTAATTAAAACAATTTTAAGGAAAACGAAGACATGCTACTCAAACAACGTAGAATCACAAAACAACCAACACGCGCACAAAGCTATCATAACACAATAAAATGAGACTGAAAATTGAGAAGTGAACCTTTTATTGATGAACAAAGCTGAAAATTGCAAGTCAATCGGGCTAAGCAAAGCAACAATACTTGTACCGAAACACCGAAATTACAAACTGAAACCTCGAATACACCGAAAAAAACAATACCTAGCCCATGATATGGAGCAAAAACAACCGTAGTCATTATAAACACGAACAGCCCCACCTTCCTTCTTCTCAAGGCGACATGCACTTGAACCAACACAAATGTCACTGTAATACGCTAGCTTGGTAAAATCACCAGAGGCAATGGCATCAATGTAATACCTATCATTGTAGCGAATTGGGAAAATTGCAATATTGATTTACTTCAATTACATCACAATCTTGTCCCTCACTCCATCCAATGAAATTGCCACCTCACGTCCTCCTACCCCCATTCTTTGATAATCCTGCTCTGGATTTTGGTATTTGGAGTTAAATAATTGGAGCTCCAAAAAGGAGCTTTAGGAGTTAGAAGCACGTAATTATTAGAAGAAGAAAGGAATCAGCTGAAGAACAGAACAGTGTATAGTCAACATAATGGTTGCTACCGTTTTGCTATATCTGAGAATTGGAGACCATGGACTCCTCTTTTGAATCCGCCGTTTTTGTGTGTTAGCTAGGTTTTTGGAATTAAAAACTTAAGGGTTCTATAATTGGGTATTTTATATGGAAGTGGGAAAGGATGATAGTCATTGGATTAGAAGAAAAGAGATGGCTAGGATTAAATCTTGCACTTAAATGGGCTAATGAGTTGGGAAGAATGGGCTAAGGGTAATTGGGTTGAACCATGTCTTTTGTGTCTCAATTTTGGGTTAAGAAGACTCCAAAAATTATTATTCAAAAACCCATAGCTAAATTCCTTTAATATAAGATAACTATACTACATGATGCAAAAATAAATTCTAATTAATTAAACTAAACTATATTAAAACATGAAACTATTATATATTTTTTGTATTTTTCAAGATTATATAAAGATAAAAATAAGGTATTATTTTTGTAATTTTTTTTACTTTATGAAAGGTACATAAAATAAAATATTTTTGTAATTTTTATTTTCTTGTAATAAAATAAAGTAAAAGAGTCAAAATTTGTTGAAATAGCGATATTAGACCAAAATTAAATATTTACGTGAAGTATAAAAAATATTGGGGATGGTCAAAAATCACATGTAAGCTTATTTTAACCCTGTCTCAACATCAGAAAAATAGCCTTGAAATAACCAGTTCTGATTAAACCAGAGATTTGTATGCAATATAACAGAAATTCAATCTAACAAACCTGAGCGAAGATCAATTTGGCAAGACGAAACTTTGCCTTTGCAACTTTCGTGTATCCTACCAAAAAAAATTTAAAATAATAATTAAGAAGAACAAATTAAAAGAGAGAGAAATGGAAAAGGGGGAAAGTATACTGGAATCGACGACCATGCGGTAGGAGAAATCAGAGCCATCGGTTCTGGACGGCCTCCCTCTTCCTCCTGCCCTTTGATTCATGTTCTCCCCTCTTACTTCTTCACGAATCCCAGGAACATCTCTGGTGAATAAGAATAACGCCTCTATTTTTGGCCCATAGCCACGCACACAGAAAAGACTAGAACAGTGAAATAAACTAGAAAGTAGAAACCGAGTTGCCTAAAAACCTTTTTACATGTAGGATACAAAAATTAAATTTAAAATAAAATAAACAAACTAATTTCAATTGATTGTTCTCATTAGTTAGAATAGATATAAAAAGAAAGAGAGAAAATGATTCATTTAGATAGGAGGACAAGATGCGAAAAGTGAGGTTAAGTGGTTCGAGCATATCAAGAGGAGAGACACAGCTGCTCCAATAAGGAGATATGAGAGGTTGCTTTAATAGGTAGGAGAAGAGGAAGAAGTGTGCCAAGAAATACTGGGAGGAGGTGATAAGAGAGGACATGTTGCAGCTTTAAATTATCAAGGATATGACCCTTGATAAGAGGGTGCGTTGATCGAGGATTAGGATACAAGGTTAGTAGTTAGTTGATCGTTTTTCTTTTCTATACCAATAGTATTAGTATTGCTCTTGTATTGTTTATGTTTCTTATTCTTATCCATGTTTTCTTTCATTCGCTTCGATTAATCTATTATCGTGCTGTTATTTACGCTTGTTGCTATTGCTTTTTTTTCCATCTTTTCTTGAGCCGAGAGTCTATCGGAAATAGGTTCTGTATCCTCACAAGGTAGGTCTCGATCCTCCCCAGACTTCACTTGTGAAATTATACTAGATTTGTTGTTGTTGTATAGTTTTCAGCTTCAATAAGGTCTTTAAATTACTCCATTATTCCTATCTCTTAGGTTAATATTGTATTTTTATTTGTATAGAATTCTTGACCGGAGGTCCTAAATTTATGATCTAATGTATATTTTTGCCTCAAAATTTTGCTTATCTTGGTGCCTCATATGTCGCAATGCCTTGTTTTATTGCAACAACAACAACAACAACAACACCAACAATAATAATAATAATAATAATAATAATAATAATAATAATTTATTACAATAACATTAATAATAATTGTAACTCATATATCTAATAATATGGGTTACATATATGCTAAAGAAATAGTGATGGGACAAACATAGAAACGGTCAAGTACGTAAGCTTTATTCAAGTATGAATTAATTATTGTACATTTTCTTCAAATTTTGCCTTTGTATATCCTCTAGTAAATTCAGGTGCTAGTAGATAGGGTCAATAAGTCACAAAAATCATACATTGCAACAGAGAAAACTGTATAGATAAAAGTCTGACCCTAGTGGTCAACCAAGCTGGGATCTCGCCCAGGCGGCGAAATAGCAAAGAACACCACAACCGATCTTAGGGTCAAATCATGGACAGCGTATGTCAAGTCAATACTGTACTCGAGTAATAATGAAAAGGACAGTCACAGGAAAGCATGTTGGTCAAAGGCCACTGAATAGAAGTTCTAGGGGCTATATATGAATGGGTATAAGCACTAATAAAGAGAAAGATATCTAACGGAGAAAAGGGGGCTCTGCTTTTCCTCTTTGCTCTCTCACTTACAATTCTTTTTTGCTTGAGATGTAAGCCCAATTCTCGTATTTGACATAATATTATGACATCAATAAATCTGATACATTCTTACTTTTCGTTATTTCCCGCTGTGTACATTTGGATCCGAAGTTAATTATTCTTCGCTAAGATTTACCTTCCTTATTATTGATAATTGAAGTTGGCAAAGGAGTTTTAAACTTTTTGTTCAAATAATTTGGCACCGTATATGGGGATTTTTTAGCCAAATTTTCTAGTTTCCTTCAGATCTAAAACCAGTGAAATATAATCACCCACCCGAAAGAGTGGTAAGTAAACCTCACATGCTAATCCAGATCAGGCTGCTACATAAAAGTTGAAGTTGCAACCAATATCCACGCAAAACCCACACGAGAAGACGACACCTGCTGCGCAATCCTATAAAATAATGGGCACATCCTGTCCTACTCTCACATCCCCCCACACATCGGATGATCCATGAATAGGGTACGACATGTCTCCCTTTTTATGGGTACGAATCAGACGAGATCGATTTGGGACTCGATTTTCATACCGCAGCAGTTAAGGCGAACCCAACCCACGTAGAGCTAGGGCACCTTTAAAAAGAAATGAGAGCTAAATACAGCCGCCGAATCTAAAAACCACCATTCTATCAACCACTTAAACGCCAGGCAGAGCGAGCAACGCTATAAGGCTACCCTCGTTTACCGACTCATTGGATCGAGGTAAGGAAAATCTCATTTTGGTTTACCCTTTATTGTTTGATTAAATAGGAACACAAGAGCCGCACGGGCAAGGGATCAAAGGAGCATTCCAACTAGAAACAATGGAAGGAAGACTACTACAAAATAACTGGAATATCGCCCATCTCAAACAGTTCAACTTCTGGAAAATGACGCCCCTTAAGTCGTACTTATTTTCCCTCACCCGGGTTTTGGCCCAATTGGGTTTTCTTGGGGAGGTTTTTAACGAGGCGATGAGAGGGACGTCTCCAGGTTCAAAGGAAAATTCATCGCCCCGCCTACCGACGAGCTCTCCAGGCCAAACAATGAAGGGACTAGATATAGGGAAATTCCAATATATACATGAAACGAATGCATACGATACCCCCCCCCCCCCAGTTAGCAAAATAACAACGTTTTATACTCTCTGACATCATACTCTCCAATGCAAACAAAATTAAGCAAACTAGAACTCACCCAGGAAACGCAAAAATTAAGTGAACTGGGACTCACCCAGGAAGCACAGAGGTTAAGCAAAATTGGGACTCCCCTTGGGGACCCCCGAAACTCTCCAAAAAAAAGGGGCAAAATCGAGTACGCCAAGATCTGCTCCGATGTCGACAGACAGTATGGTAGCCTATGATTCACCAAAATCTGACAATGACACAACGAGTTAACATTTCGACATCAGCTCGAAATAACACCCCTACGGCCAAAATTCATCGCCAAATAAAATGTTCGACCTCGCTCGAATCATTTAATATTCGACCTCACTCAAATTACAACGGGTTAACATTTTGACATCAACTCGAAATAACACCCCTACGGCCAAGGGTCATCGCCAAAAAGAAGAGTTCGACCTCGTTCGAATCATAACGTGTTGACATTTTGACATTAGCTTGAAATAACACCCGTACGGCGAAGGGCCATCGCCAAAAAGAAGAGTTCGACCTCGTTCGAATCATAACGGGTTGACATTTCGACATTAGCTCGAAATAGCACCCCTACGAACAAGGTCCATCGCCAAAGAGAAGAGTTTGACCTCGTTCGAATCATAACGGGTTAACATTTCGACATTAGCTCAAAATAACACCCCTACGGCCAAGGTCCATGCCAAAAAGAAGAGTTCGACCTCGTTCGAATCATAACGGGTTAACATTTTGACATTAGCTCGAAATAACACTCTTACGGCCAAGGGCCATCGCCAAAGAAAAGAGTTAAACCTCGTTCGAATCATAACGGGTTAACATTTCGACAATAGCTCAAAATAGTACCGCCACAGCCAAGGGCTATCGCCAAAGAGAAGAGTTCGACCTCGTTCGAATCATAACGGGTTAGCATTCCGATATTAGCTCGAAATGACACCTATACGGCCAAGGGCCATCAAAAAATAGAAGAAGAGTTCGACCTCGTTCGAATCATGACGGGTTAGTATTTTGACATAGCTCGAAATAGCACCCCTACGACCAAGGGCTATCGCAAAAATGAAAGGGAAATGTTCGACCTCGTTCGAATTATAACAGGTTAATATTTCGCTATTTAGCTCGAAATAACACCCCTATGGCAAAAGGCCATTGCATTAGGGAAAGTTTGACCCCGCTCGAATTATACGGACTAACATCCCAGTCTTACCCTCAATAACGCCTTTGTAGCCATCAATCGTCATCGTACATTTTTTTACTTACTAAAAAATTAATTTCGCTACAAACTCCAAGTTCGACCTCGCTTGAATATATATGAAAAGAATGACTTCGCCCAAATCAACAACAGTTTGATCCCACTCGAATGACTCAAGTCAAGACTGACTTCATCCACAACAACGAATCCGAATATAACCTCATTTGAGTCAAATATGAATATGCTTAAAGCGAAAAGTCAAAAGTCGATCTCGCCCAAATTGGCGAATTCGATGACACTCCATTCAGACTCACACGACGAAATCCTACTCGGTCCGGTTAAAATTGGCTTCCCTAAAAAGTTAGGAGTTCACCTTTCAAAAATCCGAAAGTCTACGCCAAAGATGTGTAAAGCAAGGGGAAGGGAGAGGAACACAACGGATGTACAATGACGAAAACCCTTTTTATTTAGACATTTGCGCAAATGGCTGCAGATTATACACGGTTAAAATCG